ACTTTCAAGTTAGCTAGATTGGATAGGGGGATTGCAAATGAAGCTTGGAGGATGAAATTCGATGAAGCAGCTGTCCGTAATTCACTTAAGTCCTAATCTGACCATTGCCCTATCTTAATTAGTAATACAGGTTTTTCTGCCCTTCCTACGGCCTTGATACCCTTCAAATTTCAAGCGACATGGTTTAATCATCAAAAAAAATTTGAGTTTGTGCAAAAGAATTAGGATGGCAGTGCGCCTCTTGTTTCTTTTTTGAAGAATTTTGTTGAGAAGTTGAGTAATTGGAATAAGGAGGAATTTTATAACATTTTTCGAAAGAAATTTGACCTTTGGGCGCGGCTCGAGGGTATTCAAGTTGAGTTATCTTATGGTCAACAACGTCATCTTGTTAGACTTAAAGAAAAATTGAGGAAAGAGCTTGATGATGTCTTGAAAGATGAGGAAATGTTTTGGTTCCAGAAGTCCCGTGTCGAGGCTATTTATGATTGTGACCACAACACTAGATATTTTCATATATCTACCATTATTAGGCGAAAGAAGAATAGAATCAAAACGCTTCAAGATAGTGAAGGGAATTGGGTGTCCGAGTGCATGACGTGAAAAAGTTGGTGGTGGATTACTGGGAGAGATTGTTCCAAGAAGAGGGAAATTTGTATGGGAGAGTTCACTTGTTGTGGGATTACTTCCCAGAGCTTGATAAGGATGATATGGAGCACGTGAAAAGGCCTTTTAGTTCGTGTGAATTGGTGGCTTCCCTCAAGAGTATGAAGTCCTTCAAGGCGCCAGGTCCCGACGGCTTTCAACCAATATTTTATAAAAATTTCTAGAATTTAGTCGAGCCAAATGTGGTGCGATTGGTTCGAGAAATTTTAGAAGGAAACGAGTTTCATAGTGGCTACAATGATGCATTCTTGGTTTTGATTCCAAAGGTCAAGGTCCCTCAAAAAACAAACCAATTTCGGCCTATAGGTTTGTGTAACATTATTTATAAATTGGTTACGAAGGTTATTGTTAATAGTTTAAATCCAGTATTGCCGAAGCTTATTTTTCGAACTCAATGTTCATTTGTTCCTAAGAGGCAAATCACAGACAATGTGATAATAGTTCAGGAGATGCTACATACAATGCAGAATAAACAAGGAAGAGATGGATATATGGCTTAAAGATTGATTTTGAGAAGGCTTATGATCGCCTCCGGTCGTCATTTATTAAAGAATCTTTGAGTGAACTTCGGCTGTCGATTCATATTGTGGAAGTTGTGATGAAATGCATTTCTTCTACTAATCTTTAGATTTTGTGGAATGGTGAACCAACGGAGTCTTTTAAGCCGACTCGTGGTATTCGTCAAGGCGATCCTTTATCTCCCTGTTTATATGTGATTTATATGGATCGATTAGCTCATTTGATTGAAAGGGAGGTAAAGTTGGGTGCGTGGATTCCAGTTCGAGCTAGTAGAAATGGACCCCCAATTTCTGATGAGTGCCATTTATGGAACTCATTTGATGAGTTTTTAGGTTGTTTTACCTTCTTTTTGTAGCTTTCTTTCTTAATAAATGCTTAGTTATATTCATTTTCTCTTTAGTTTCCTTATTCTTTCTTATTTTGTGCTTTTGTCCACTTTTGTGGATTTTCTAATGTTTTCTCCTTTACTTGTTCTCTTTTCATGGTTATAGGTATTGTACGAGGTTAGGGTCTTGATATTGGTGGTTTACAAAGTTGTAAGATGCCTTTGCAACGAGCTTATAGAATTAGGAAAGCTCAAGAAGTAAGAAAGTGGCATGCTTCAAGTTCTAGCTCTTGCGCTCTCAAGCCGCGCTCTCATGAGATCATGGTGTTGAACCCACCGTCAACTCCATTTGAATCTGCCATACTTGGTGACTATCATGAAGATATAGTGTGCGCACACGAGGACTCATTTGCGAGCACACGAAGCTACGAAGACTCGGAGAAACCCAAAAGAGCGCGGGCGCGCAACCCTGCTTCCGGGTTCATTTCGAGCTCGTTTTCCCGCCTCGTATAAATACTTTAAGACTCGATATTTAGAAAGAGTTTTTAGACATTATTTTCCTCATAATTTTATCTAGGTTGAGAGTTTCTCTCTCTAGTTTTAAGGTTAGTTTTAGGAGTAGATTTAGAGAGAGAAAGTGAAGCATTTCAATGGTGATTTGAGAGATTGATGATGCAAGGGTGACAATTGTATTGAAGATCTTTTCAATTATCAATGAGCACTTCTAACTCTATCTCATCTTATTGCTTTGTTTAATTTCATGTTTGTTTGATTTGGTTTTGATGATTGAATTTTGATTAGGTGAGTTGTTCTTCATATTTGTTGATTCTTGATTTCATTACTTGCTTGTTGATTAGATGATGATTCTTGAGTAGTTGTTTTGCTAGGATTTAGGTGAAACTTGTATGAGTGATTGTTTGTGATGGACTTGGGAATTATGTTAATTGATTGTTGAGATTAAAGTGATTAATGTAAGTTTGCATGTGTGTAGTTTGATTAGGCCTTGAGAAATATGCTAGATTGCATTGTGATTCCTGATGACATGACCACTTGATTTAGGATTTGCAATTGTTGATTGGATTAGATTGTGATTCTCTTAGTTTGTTATTCATTGAGGAAACCTAGCTTAATGATTAGGAGATAGCTCTTTGATTCCAATTTATAGCTCTTATCATTAGTCTTCACAACCATTGATTAGCTTAACCTTCCTAAGTTGTTGCAATTGTCATGATTACTTGTTGATCCCCATTCCTTAGTGTTTCATTTGTTTGCTTCTTTATTTTATAGATGATTAGTATTGGTTACTCTATTCTTCATCCTTGACTTCGATCTAGCTTAGGCGCACATTAGAAACACTTAAGCATAACCGTTCCTAGTGGTTCGACCCTTGACTTACCTCTATACTTGTATATAGGTTTGTTAAGTGATTATAAATTTTTTTTGGCTCTAGGGAGGATTAGTCAACAACTTACTTTTCCCTACGTCAATTTCGAACCTTGCATTTGCTGATGATCTGATTTTATTTGGTCATGCTTCAGTAGCTCAAGCCGAGGTCATGTTACATTGCTTGAATCAATTTTGCAAGACGTCGGGTAGTAAAGTCAACATTGACAAACCGAGGGTGTATTTTCTCATAATACAAACCTGGAAGTGCGTGAAGCTATTTGCTTTACCCTTGGTATGGAAGAAACAGGAGACTTAGGCAAGTACCTCGGAGTTCCTACAATTAATGGTAGGAAGTCCAAGAGGGATTACCAATATCTTGTGGATTATATAAATGGGAAGCTTGATGGTTGGAAGACTCGTACTTTATCAATGGCTGGATGAATGACCTTAATTCAATCAACTTTGAATGCGATCCCATTCTATACTATGAAATCCACTAAACTCCCAAGATCGACGTGCGACGATATTGATAGAAAAGCAAGGAAGTTTTTTGTGGAAGGAAGATGATGGCAGCCGCAAGGTTCACTTAATAGCATAGGATACGATCACCAAGCCAAAACGAGCTGGTGGGCTGGGTCTTAGAAATATGCATCAGTCTAATAAAGCGTTTCTAGCTAAATTGGGTTGGTACTTATTGGAGGAGCCAAATGCTTTATGGTCACGAGTTTTGAGGGCCAAATATTGCGATAATCGATGTGATTTCAATATGTTCAAGGAGAAGGGGAATGCTTCGAATGCTTGGCGAGGTATAATGAGTAGTATTGATATGGTCCGTAAAGGGCTCAATATGGCGGTGGGTAATGGTGGCCGTACTTTTTTCTGGCATCATCGATGGGCGTGTGAAGAACCCCTTTTAAACTATGTGGTAGACGAGCCCCCTTTGGAGCTTCAAGATTGCACTATGCGTAAGATGTAGGACAAAGATGTGGGTTGGAAGTTTGATGAGTTTGTTGATGATTTCCCTGCATCTATGTTGAAGGAGATTGCGGCGCATGAATTAGAAGAGGATGAGGAAGCTATTGAAGAGGTTTCTTGGAATGAAACCCCTTCGGGAGGGTTCACTCTGATCTTGGTCTTAAATATTGTGCGTGAGCTTAATGGAATTCTTGATACAAAAAAAGATGGTTGGGCTGAAATTTGGAAGCTGCCAATTCCGCAAAAAAAATCGTTTCTTTATATGGATGGCCTTACAGGACAGGTTAATGACTAATGTTGCAAGATTTATTCCAACATTAACGGATGATCCTAGGTGCCTGATTTATGGAGCAGATGAAGAAAATGTGTATCATATCTTGCGGTTTTGTCCTACAGCTCGAATGTTGTGGTCTAAGTTCGGGGTGAAGGCTTGAAATATGCAAGACACGCTAACCTTGGAACAGTGGTTGATGCTTAACTTGGATAAGCATAGAGCTAATATGGGGAGGTGAATGGCCGAAGACTTTTGCGGTGAGCTGTTGGTGGTTATGGATGTGGCGCAATGCCAGAACTTTCCATGATGTGCCTAATATCCCTTTTGATTAGGTGGGGTTCATTTTTGCTCGTGTTGGTGAGATAAAGAGAGTTATGGCTAAGGATTCTTCCCAATTAGGAAATGGTAGAAAATTGCAAGTAGAAAAACTCATTAAATGGTGCTTCCCTAGAGAAGGTTGGGTTAGACTCAATACGGATGGTGCCTCGAAAGGCAATCCAGGTGATGCCGGAGCTGGGGGTATTATCCGTGGGCATAGAGGGGAAGTCTTTGAGGTGTTTGCGGTTAATTGTGGGAGTTGCACATGTACTAGGGCTGAGTTGATTGCTATTCTTCGTGGTTTAGGTGTGGCATGGGATAGGGGTCATAGAAAAGTGCAACTTTCGGTTGACTCGGAGGTGGTTGTTCGCTTTTTGGTAGATGAAGTTCCTTCCAACTCTCCTTATATTCACATCATTCGGCGATGTAAATCTCTCATCTCGTATCGAGATTGGGAGGTGACCATCCATCACTACTATAGAGAGGCTAATCGGGCTGCTGATTGGCTAGCTAATTTTGGAGTGAAGGCGAGTGAGAAGGTTACCATGTTTGAGGCGATCTCGAAGGATGTTCATGCTATTTTATTGGAGGATTTTAGTGGTGTGGCTTGGCCAAGATTGGTGCTGAAGAACTAGCTTAGGCCTAGTATAGCCCGGTTCTTGTTTTATTTCTTTAGTTTGTTTCGCATTTTTTATTTCGTTGTTTGTTGCGTGTGTGGTTCTTTGGGGCTTGCCCCTCTCCTTCACCAAATAAAAAATTAAAAAAAAAACCTCCCCCGAAATTAATGGAATTCCGGAATTGGCCTTTATTCTAATTGGTTGATGCTTGAGTGCTTTCTCACCGACTTTCCTCACCTACTTCCTTCGCTCTCTTTCTTCTCATCTCAAAAAAAAAAGGCTGAGAGTTTTTTGGGGAAACAAGGAGAGAGAAACCTAGAGAGAGAAAATATGTCTTCCTTCAACAACGATGGCGATGAGCACAAAACCACCGATCATTCCTTCGACGATGGTTATGGGGCTTCCATTCTTCTCAGTGTTTGGATTTCTCAGGTTTCAGCGACGCGGTTGCTAAGGTTTTTTTCTCTTTCTTGTTCTAATTGGTTTGGTGTTCATCTCTTCGATTAGATTTTACCTCTCATATGAAGGTTGTTTTTTTTTATTTCTGGGCTTTCGTGCAATTTTTCGATTGAATTTGATTTCAAATGGTTCTTACTTAGCAACTTGCTACTAAGGTATCTCTTCATTCTCATGGTTTCCTAAAGCAAAGATGTTCGGAGGAATGTTCCTGAAGAAACCAAGCAAGGAAGAAGCTCTGATGCAGCTTCGATCCCACGGATTGATGTTCGAAGCATGGGTTGTTGCTATTCGGGTTAGTCCTTATGTTCTTCAGTATTTCCAGAAAGAGGAGATCACTTTGGATCTTTGATTCAACCCCACCAAATTTAAGGTATTAGTCTTATAAGTTTTCAAGATATTGACTTTATTTGATTCTTAATTTCACTTATTTTACATTATTTGGGTGTTTTAGATGTTAATAAATTAATTTTTGATTTAATTTTGCTCAATGTTTATTTTAGCTAAGAAGGATTAGAATTGAACGATTAGGGTTTTTTGTGTTGATTTTTGGATATGCTTATTAAAAATGCACTATGATTAGCTCTAACAGCATTAGATTGATTAGTTGGGAGTCAAGGCTTTTGATATCTCTTTCCAATTGGAATACTGGATTGGTTATCAAAGTTGTTGATATCACTTTCTAATTGGATTGGCTATCAAAGTTGTTGATATCTTTTTTTTATTGGGTTGGTTCATTATTATGGGAAACAAAAATTTAAGATGTATATCTATGTCAAAGTTGTCAATATCTTCTACTAAATTGTGATCTCATGATTTTTTATTTCCATAACATATGAGATTTAAGGATTACAATGATAAGGGAGGGGATGGTGTCAAAGATAGAGGATTTTGAAGAAGCTCAAGGATCTGCAAAAACATCCTCCGACTTCCTGCAATGTGCCAGTGCCGGTATACTTTTTTTAATTTGCTTCAAACTTAAACGCCCATTTTATCCTCTTAATAATGGAGTCACTTTAGTATACTCTAAGATATTGTCAAAATTTTAGATTGATTGATTGACTGAAACCCCCCTCTCTTTTATTTTTCTTCTTCAAATTCTATGAATTTCGACAATACTTCCAATTTTCTTGTCAAAGTTCCCCGATTTCATGTTCTGAAGATTTTGTAATTTGGGTGTATCTTCAATGCCTCATTGATTAACTTAGGGCTTGTTTGGCATCGTTTTTGGTTTTTAGTTTGCAGTTTTTTTAAAACAAAAAACCAAAAATAAGAAACAAGAAAAAGGTGTTTCCATTTTTATTGTTAGTTTTAAAAATTATCATGATTTTATTAAGTTTGACTAATTTTTTATTCATTATATGACATATATCATATGATTTTGAAAAACAAAAAATCAAAAAGCAGAAAACCACAGCAATGCCAAACGAGCCCTTGATGACTCAGTTGCTTGAATTGATCCAATTTTGTTTAGTTAAGTAGATTTATTAAGTTTGGTTTGATTTTTGAGGTACCCATTTTTAATTTTTTGGATTGAATTTTAGTTTAAAATTGATCAAAATTTTCAGCGTTTGATAAATCTGGATTTGGGTGTGATGATTAGTTGATAATTTTTCATGCTCTTTAGGGTTTTGGAAGTGTGAGAAGCTTATCTGTTGACTGAATTGAGGAGTAAGTAGTTGATTAAATTATGTGTGTAAAGGTGAGCAATTTCTCAACTTTATAGAAAAATATTCTGTTTGTTTGTAATTTGACTTTTACTAGAAAATGGTGGTTAGGTTGCTAGATTTATTGCTTACTTTGTTTGATCTATGTAATTTTTACTTAGGTTATATGATATTGTTGCTTTAATCAATTAATTGAAAGTTGAAAAGCTATTTGATGGGTCAAAAATTGAAAGGATTTTACCATGCATTAGTAAATTATTTTATAGATTGTAGCCGATACATGTACCAACCAGTTTAATGTTAAATGATGAAGGTTTAGGTAGTTTGAGCATAATTTGGAATGAGACACTGCTGTTCAGGAGCTATTCGGAAGAATGAAGACAAGATTGCAAAAGAAGTAAGGGGAAAAATTGAAGGGAAAGTTTTTTAGTGGCTTAAGACCATGTAGAAGTTATGTATAATGAATTACATTGAATTATACGCTTTCACGCTAGCATTCCACTGCACAGTCTAATTTCTATGGTTTAATATATTTTCATTTATTAATATAATATTCAAATTGCTCGCTGTTATTGAAATGAAGTGTGACAATTTGTGGAATTTTTCAGCGTTTGATAAATTTGTATTATTGATTGTTGGTTTGTTTATCACAATCAATAATAATCACTTTGTGGAATTTGTTTTTGTATTGTTCAATTTCAGATTTCTTTTATTTGGTTGCTCTTGTAGGTTTTGGATTGGTTCATCCTTTGTGATGGGAGGCTATTTTAAATCAATTGCTTAAGAATAATGCCGGCTTATTTGACTGATTTTTTCTGTTTGATTTACTGAATAATATAGCCTGGTTTGTTGTTTATTGCTACCTTCTTCCTTGTCAGGGCTTCTGGAGCAAATGCGGAGATTTGTTTCTACGGATTATACAGGACAATAAATATGTTTAAAGGAGCTCTTAATGGTTAAGGCCTCAGCAAATCGGCAGTTAAGAATTGGGTGGTAACTGATCCCATCCATCTCTAATTTTGTTCTAATATTCAACTAATTGATGTAATTAATTGGGGTAATAGCTTATTGTGTCAAATTATGGCTAATCTCAAAATAATGAGCTATATTGCTTGTTCCTTTTCTACATATTTCAGTATGCTCTTCCCTCTCTCTCACAAAGTTAATACTGTGTTTTGGGTTAATGTGCTTTCCTCCTTATTGAAATGAAGAAAGCTTCAATTGTAAGGGTGATTGTGAAATTGAGTGGGAATTTAGGGAATGTGAAGGAGTTGATGAAAAATAAGGAATTTGTTAAAGAGGCAAAAGGGGTTAGGAATTTGAAAATGGCATTAAGGATTGGTGATGTTGATGAGGAGAGAAAAAACAAGGAGGTTTTTGTTGATGGTTTGCTCAGGAAGCAATGGTTGCCTGCTTTAAGGAGGCAAACTTAGTGTAATTGATGTAGAGCTCTTAGAGATATGAGTAGAGAGACATAGTGCTTTTAAAAGTCCATTTTGTTTCTCTTTTTTGATCATCTAATCTTGACTTGATTTTATTAATACTTAATCCTTTAATTTCAAAAAAGTTTTAGTACATTCTAAAAGCAATTGTGCTTTTAATTAATCACGAGCCATCCTATTTTAATCTGCATATTAGAAGGAATGCAAGAGTAAAGATGGATTAGGTGCAGCATATTTTTTTAAATCTTATTTTACTTTGTTACTTCAAACAGTGAATGTGGATCATTTGATGCAGCCATCACCATAGGGAACATTAGTATCCATCTTTAGTTTATTTTGATGTTGATATGAGATTCATTTGGTTGGGGACTTCCAAATCATAATATCTTGTATATAGTGTCTTCCATTTTAATGAGATTAAGTACGTGATCAATTGTTTCCAAAATGCTTTCAATACTATTTGCGGTCTAGCTTGATGTCCTCTGCATCCTTTGGTTAATTGCTTTTTATTTGTTTGTGAATTGCCTCTGTTTCTTTTAATTTTGTAGGTTGTAAATATATTTTTGTTTTAAATTTGTTATGGTGGATTGAATTGATTTTTTGCCGATGCCCTCTTCAGGTCCAACTACAGTCAGTGTTGGTATTACTGGACTCTTGGGAAGCAAGGGTTTCTCTTGGTTATCTCTTACTCCTTAAATTTGCTTTGGTTCTTGTATTTTAATGCTTATTTTTTTATCTGTGCATTTTTTTATTAGCCATTTTTGGACATTTAGCTAAGTCGAAATTACAGAATAAACTTGATCATATTCTACATTCAAAAAATAAACCCAAAATTTGGGCAAACAAACAATTCAAATCAAATAAGGCTTTTCTATGGTAGTATCAGTTTATATTTATGGAAATCAAGAGGATGTGAAAGGAGCTAGCACATGGTAATATCAGTTTATATTATGAAAATCAAGAGGATTTGAATTGCGAATGCTCTATAATTTTCAAATGTTTTCTTTAAGTTTTGATCTGATGAAAAGCTACTATTAGTGGGTAGATACTGGGAAAACACTAACCAGCTTTTATCATTTTCCATGATTACCTTTCGTTGCCATTAGTCATTACTTTCTGAAGCTTTATTAAATTAATTTTATAATCTGTTTTCTCGGAGAATGAAGATAATGATTATGAAGCAATTAATTTATAATCAGTAAGGGACGGTGGGTAAAAAACGCTTCGACAATTACAAGCTGAAGAAGATGAGGAGGAAAGGTTTCAAGCAGATTTGGAGAAAGCTGTACACAGTTCTTGTCATTTACCATTTGTTAACTTGCTTTGATGCTATCTTTAAATTGATTTGTTGACATTTTTTTTGCTGGTTTTGTTTTATTTGCTCACAGGAATAATGAATTAAAGTGCGAATGCAGCGATGGAGGCGGCATTGATGAGAAGAAGAAGAGATGTAGTTGAGAAGGATGGCAATCCAGCCGAAAGCCATGATGATTTTTTTGGCTGCCTTACCAGAAAAAGACTGTTGGTATTGGGTCTTTGGTTATGATTTTATGACATCTAACAATTGCCAAAATAGCAAGATTTTTTCTTTTCATGGTTAGCTCTTTGCCTGATTTTTTTTCCTCGGTTGCATATTTTCTCCAATTATTCAATTATTGAATCTGCGTCTTTTAATCTATTTTATGTAATATATATCAACTTATTATTAGTCAAATTAAATTATAATGATACTAAGATTATTGCCCCTGGTGATGTTGATTCTGTTTCATACTTTGGAAGTCAAACATATATGAGTTGTTGCTATTATATGTATATGGATGAACTCTGGAGTTTGGACTTGGATTATTTTTGAATGTCTGGTTTATTAGTGCTAGCAATTTCCTGGATCGTAGTGTTATGCTATTAACCAAGAATTGAGTAGAGTCAAGTGATTGAACGCCCTGGTTTCCATCAGCTCACTACCTAGGTCGTCCTGGGTTCAAGGCTCCTGTCCCCTTCTCCCTGGACATTATTCCACAGTAGCCACCTTCTACAGGCCACCTTGATATAGGGATTTAGTGAGAGGGTAATTGCGCACCTGATTTGGAAAAACAGTATTAGGCTATCAAATACTGCATAGTTTGTTCACTTGTGCTGATTTTACTTCATGTGATTGATTTGTCCCAGAAAAAAAACTATGTTTGTACTCAACAGCTTTATTAGAATTTGAACTTTTAATCTAACAATTGTTAGGTTTTATATATACCCAAGCTTTGTTATGACATTGCCATTTCTTCTAGAAATTGTCTATTTGCCAAACCAATTAGGTAACTAATAAGGATAGAAATAGTTGCCTTAGTGGCAATTAGTACAAATTCTTTTTATTGATTGTCGGGCAGCAGAATTGCAGAGTGGTTTGTATCTTGAAGAGGTAATAATAATAAATACAGCTTATTGGTACATGGTGTCCTAATTAACTGATTATCGGGTATTGACTGAAATGTATTGTATATTTGTTTTATTTTTTGGATACCTGAATGCAATTTTTGATGAAATGTATGGTAAGCTACATTTTTACAGGTCAGGAAACATTGTTGTAGAGATGTCCAGAGCTGGAAAACATCGAAGGAACAGGCAATAGATAGTACTATTCTAAATCAGATTTGTAAGATGTTTTTTTATTTAAGCTCCCTTGTCATATTATCTAGAATATCATAATGAGTCATTGAAGAACTCATAATTTTGCTCAAAAAATATTGTTGATCTTACATTAGTGTGTCACAGTTTCTGAGTCTAAATCTTTTGCTAACTACTTGGGGTGTGCTAAATGTTAGAGTAATCTAACCATGGAATACATCTCTGTTTAAATAAATAATGGCTAGGAGGGTTTGTTAAATAATTGCTTTTTTAACAAGAATGAATGATTTTTTTTATAACTTATGAGAAATAATTAGGGTTGTTTTAACCTTCGTATAATCTAGTGTGATGGTGTGTTCTATGTATCCCTCAGTTATTAATCATCCCTCAGTTTACATGTTCGAAAATCATTTTGATTACATGTCGAATCAGTTAGAAGGTAAAGATTTTGAGAGTCATATTGGCTGTCAAAAGTTTACTTTTTAGTTAAAATTGGCATGAAATTAACAAAAAACTGTAATTTGTGTGTTAAGAAATTGCCTCATACCTTAAACTGTTCTATCCATTAAGAGTTAGAGGGATGGCATGGATGATAAATATAAGTGTAAAATTGGCTTATACAAGTAGGAAATTTTTTGTGTCAAAAAAAAAAGTAGGAAATTTTTAAAAATGAGAGAAATTGAAATTATAAAAAAAATAATAAATAAATAAATAAATAAAAAGGATAACACTTTTAAGAACATATTTAAAGTTAAGTTGAGGAATATTGAGCATTTGAGCGTCTAAACATATAAGTATTAGTGTATGAGAAAATAAGTGACAGGTAAAAAAAGTTTTTAGGAACAACTATCAAAAGAGGTATAAAAAGCATATTTGAGGCTTCTGTTAAAGAACAAATATATATAAACATCTCTAATCACTAATGTATTAATGCTTCAACATCCTAGTTGAAGTCTAACTATAAATTTTAACTATTGTTTGTCTGTAGTCTATGACATTCAAAATGGATTGGTAATAAATAAAAATCAAATTAAGAAGTTGTTTTTAATATTTGGAGTAAGGATGATATTAGGTTTAATAATGGGGTGAAATATCTTGTAAATGTTTTCGAATATTTTTCTCTCTAATTTTGAGAAAAAGAGTACCAAAAGGAGCTACTAGGTGCCAAAAAAATTAAAATCATTTTGAAAGAATCGTGCTATATTCAACAGTAAGTGTTTTTGTTTGTTTTTTTTTTTTTTTTTTTTTAGAGAATAGAACAGAGACACGAAGGATTAGGAAAGAAAAAAAAAGAGTGAGAAAAAGAGTTTAGGCCAATAAAGGAAGGAATGAGTGAATTGGGAGCAATTGAACCTATAATTTTTGAAAGCCATTTAAAAAAAGAGGGAATATGGAGCAAAGTTAGAAAGGAGATATATTAAAAGGAAAAAGTTAAAGATAGATTTTATTAATTAATACTATTAAAAGCCATTAAGTAGTTATACGAGAAAGAAAAGGCATTATCATTTATTCCATGTTTACACATGCACAATAGTACTCTTAAAAATACATATTTAATCAACCAACCAAATTAGAATTAAACTTAATTTATATTGTTCAAAGCCCTAAGAGCACTTTCCTAAAACAACACAAAAACAACCTGTTTATGGTAGTAAGAAAACAAATTTGAAGATAAATATTAATTAAGCGGATAAAATTTGCAATAAGGCAAAAGCTAATGAACGCCTTGGGGACATTGGATAAACTAATTAAAAATAGAAATATTAAAAACATTAATTACATCGATCGACATGTGATTTTTGCATGTATTTTCAAATTAATATCATTTTAAGTACTATTTTAAAGGATTATTTGACGCCCTGAGGGTGTTAGTTAGTTAGATCCTTGTTATAAACTTATTGATTAAATCATAATAAACATATATCAAGAGTTAGGGATTGTAATAAACTGAAATGCTCAATCACAAAAAAACATTTCCCGAGAGCAAGCGGTCAATTTATTTCACCAAACTAGGGGACCACGCCCATAGATTTTTCTTTATTTTTGTCAACTTTGGTAGCTCCATGAATCTGGAATGATATGCTTTTGCATATCTCATATTTATTTGATGAGAATGTCATAAATGACTATATCTCGAAAAAGTAAAGGATGAAGGAAAGGAGAGAAAGAGAGATTATAAATACATAAATTAGGATGTATAATATTTAATTATAATAATACAATAAATGTCATTTCACTAACTGCATCAATTAATAGGCTGCTATTACCGTGCGAACCTAAGCACTATAATCGTTCAAATGTAACTAATTAAAATAAACCAAACTTACGTGCATTTTTATAATTTCCGAGATAACAACACACAATTAACATTATCTATATGTGTTTATCTTTATATTTTTGCTCTTACTATTATTCACAAAGTTTTTCCCCCAAATTTACTGCTTCGACCTTTATCATGTTTCCATAATGCTTGTCACTTAACCAAAAATATTACATCGTATAACAATAACATATAAGAACTCAAATAAAACATAATCGAAGGTAGTGTATGAGAATGCTATATATACAATAGACACAGAGAGAGCGCGATGGGGGATGTGTGAAAGAAAGATGCATCGAGTGAGGGGGGATGGGAGAGAGAAGTAGAGAGAGAAAGAGAAAGAGGGGGAACGGGTGAAAGGGAGATGCGTCGGGAGTTGGAAGGGTCGAGAGAGAGAAAGGGGCTAAGAGAGAGAAAGAGGGCATGCTAAAAGAAAATAGGGTCTGGAAAGAGAAAGAGCATGAGAGGAAAAAGGACAGGGAGAGAGGAGCCGAGAAAAGAGAGATAGAGAGAGAATGAAGAGCTGGAAGAGAATTGAAAAAGAGTGAGAGAGAAAGAGGGTCAGGAAAGAAAGAAAGACAGGGGTCAAAAGAGACAAAAATATAGCGATAAAGAGAGAAAGAGATAGAGTGATGATTAGGGATGTCAGTAGGGAGGGTTAAATAGGAGACCCGCCTCATCCCCGCCCCAACGGGGCAGGGATGGGTCTTGGTTTGGCGGGTGATAGGGCGGGGATGGGGATTAAAACCATACCCGCCATGGGTGATGGGGCGGGGGTGGATTTTAGGTTGTACCCGCCCCATCTCCACCCCGCCCCACCCGCCCCACTTCGTACCCGCTCCATCCCCACCTACCCCACTTCGTACCCGCCCCATCCCCACATCCATATATTTTTAAAAACAAAATTATATACTTTTATACTATTTTATAAATAAAAAATCATGTAAAATAAAATAGTAAATATAATACTTTGTGATACACTTATATTTTAAACAAAAAAATGTGTAATATTAACAATAATTTTTTTCCTTTTGCAATCTTTATTAATTATGAAGGATTGTGTATTTGGGAGGCAGGGATTAGGCGGGTCTTAGGTGGGGATTATGTGGTGGTGGATATCCAAGTGGGGGTTGGGGTAGGGATGGTTTTGGAATTGTACCCGTCGGGGCAGGGATGGGGATGAATTTTAGACCCGCTGTGGGGATGGGGGATGGAGATAGGGATGAAAATTTTAGGTGGGGATGGGGATGGGAAGGCCAACATTTGCCCCGTCCCGCCCCATTGACATCCCTAGTGATAATGAACGAGAGGGACTGAGAAAGAGATAGAGGGGGGCTGAAAGAATGAGGGGGATAAAGAGAAGTCGGGTGAGATAGAAGGGCCGGGGGAGAGGGAGCAAGTGCAACCTAGTAATTTTCACAGCCTTTTAAAGGATGAAACAAGGACAAGAAAGATTAGGAAAGAAAGAGAGTGAGAGAAAGAGTTTTGGCCAATAAAGGAAGGAATAAGTGAGAGAAGAGCAAGTCGACCAATAACTTTCAAATCCATAGAAAAAGAACAATTAAGACATGGTAGGGGGAAAAGAAAAGGAAAAAGAGAAAGGGACAATTTAGGGCAATAGAGAAATGAAAATGTGGGACTTGTTCCCCTATCACTTGCTTCTTAACGCCTTTTTCAAATAATCCTTTTTTTCCACTCATGTCCATTTTACTCTACTGTTCGAAACTAATAAGACACTTTGTAGAAGACGAGTGAGTAATTGTACTCTACTTAATACTTTTAGAGATACATGTTTATTAACTAATGAGATTAAAATTCAAGTTACACTACTACTCAGAACCCTAGTTTCTCTTTCGTAAAATAATACAATAACAACTTATTTATGTTAATTAAAAAACAAGCTTGAAGATAATGATTAAGTGAATATAACTTATAATGATCATAAACTTATAAATTAAATGTAATAAACATGTATCAAAAGCATTTTTGTTTATTGCTTAATTCATATACAATTGCACCGATTAATCCCCTAAATTAGGGCTGAGCAAAACTATTTGAAAATTCAATGATCCAATCTGCATCTGATCCAAAAATTATGGATATTCGATCCGAAAAAATTGGACATCGGATATTCAAAATAGTCACACACGATTAACATTAACAATATAACAAGCTTTTTTTAAAAAAAATATTAAATTAACCTTCCCTATTCAACATGTTAATAACACCCCAAACTACAAAACACAATCATAGTCACAAAGCTTTCATATCTTACCGTTGGAACATGTGCTTAGCGCGTGCTCTAACGACTCCTATTTAAAATAAATACCCCATAATTAAACATTAACTTATTCTTGGTTAAAGTACATATTGACTTTTTTTTAAGTTAACTAGGATAACATTGATTTAATTTTGACAAATTTCATTTGTAACCATGTCTCTTTCAACTTTCGTAGTTATTTATTTTTCTTTTTTTTTTAAAGCCATTAATAAAGTTCCTTTTCTGCAAGTTAATCTCATCATGAAGCAGATAGTACTTTCTTATCTTATGGCATTTGCTTTTTAATTAACAAATGATGGAAGTACCTAATCTTCCCTTGTTTATAGCTAAGGGGGATTAGGGAGATTCTTTTAAAAAAAAGGTTACTAGTTGCGGGAAGCTGCCAACTTTTTAAATGGAAATGCAAATTCGGAATACCCATTCATTTAAAAAACACAAAAATGTTTCCCACGATAGGAAACATTAATAAACCCAAATCAAATTAAAGAAAAGGAGACCCCAACATCTCTCATAATTTCTTTGCTCATTTGTTTCTCTTTACAAACCTGAAAACAAACTATTTACACTGTAATTTTTTTTATTTTTTATTTATTTTTTTCCGATTAATCTTTCTTTCTTCTATAGTTTTCTTTTTCTTTTCTCTTTTTCTAATCTCGCCCCTTCTAACTGACAAGCTATTGATTATATAATAATACTTCCACGGTCCAAAACAACTTTTACAAGCGTATATACACGCATTTGAGCACAAACCCTAGCTAGACTCCTTTTCGACGAGTTCCCATCCCCTGATTAGAAAGGACCCCTCGGTTAAGGAGGTTAAGCCCCTATTCATGACTTCGGGTAGACACACACATACACGCACACACACTCTCTGTCAAGAACACGTTTAAAAAGGGGGGCGGAGAGGAGAGGAGAGAAATATAGTAGTAAAGGAGGAGAATATAAAAGGTGGGTAAGGGAGACGCAGGGCATGTGGGACAGAATGGATTGACACAATCAAATGTCTCTGGCAGCGGCGTTGCCGGATCTTGGTTGCCGTAGAAGCTCAATCAATGTCTCCGCCTGTCCCACAATCAACAGCAACATCAGCATTATATTATGTCACAAAACTAACATCCAACAAATAGGGAAAGCCAAAATACAACAACAAGATAACATTCATACATACATTATATTCGCTAAATAATAGTGTCCCCTACCTCTTCGATGAGGAAAGGTTCATTTACATCGACACCCAATAATTTATGCTTAAAAGTAGACAGGTTGATTGGTCAAGTAGTTATGCCAAACTACATTATATAGCATATTGTAATAATCTCCGACATCTCACATTAATTGAGTTGTTAATAGTTAGTTTGTTACTTATAATTGGTATTCCATAATATTAGTAAACCGCCCATAATGATTTTCCTTGCAAAAGTTTAATGATTGTAAGAACATATTTGTAACAAAATACCTGACAATAATTTAGGAATAATAGTTAGGAGTATTATGGTTTAAACAAACTTGCAAAGTACTGTATAATTCTATTCACTCATAAAAAATATATATGTATTTAATAATAGTTTATGTTTTGCTTTAATAAAAACCTTATGAGTAGTCTATTATTGTTTTTTCTTAAGTGAATAATTCTATAAATCGGGTGCAGTACAATAATGTTTAATCTCCTAGTTTGATCATGATGTGTATTATTTTCACGAGAATACAGGGAATTGAAGAGAGTATATTGATGTAGGAAGTGCAAGTAAGAAAGAAACAGTGAAAATGTGAGTGAGTGTAAGAGGAAAGTAGTAAGAGAGGGCGAATATATATGTGTAAATATTGTGGCATAAGAGGGTAAAGTATTAATAAATTTTGCCAAAAATTAAACCAAGTTAGTGAAAGAGTAAAATACTTTAAGAAACAGGCTAATCAGAAAAGTGTCAAAAAAAAAAAAAAAAAAAAACATTTAGGAATGTTGGTAGTATTAAAATAGTCTTCTTAAATTGGAATTAAAAAAAGCTGCATCCATTTATAATGTAGGACAAAACACTAAAGGCAGCATTCGATCACATAACATACTGCATTATTTGTCTCAGAAAATATAATAAAATCAATAAGTTTACGACCCCAATAAATTAAAAAATACTATATAAGCTTACGTTATGAAATGATAAAGAATAGATATCTTCTAGAACATAATTCTTTTGTGGAGTAAACTCTTTTCCTCTTCAAAAGTTGCTTAACATCAACTCCCTTGTTCCTTATATTTTGCGCCGTTCTACTCATAAATCTCTGACAAAAGTTGAGCTATACAACTATCATTTATAAAACCCATTTATGTCACTCAAAATTTACCTATACAACTATCATTTGAGCAGGACATTAACTAATTCTATTCACTTTTAATTAACAAAACTCCTCCAACCTCATTCCTAATATAATGCTCTGTAAAATATATTAGCTATCTTCTACTTGAATTTTTTTGAAGGGATTTTACTTGAATTTTTTTTATTCAACTTTAATTTACAATATCGTTTTTTAAAATTCTCCTAAAACATTAGGACCGGGAGACAGTTCTATGCAAAGAATGGGTAATTGGGGTGACGATCACAATTAAAATTGGTAAGTTATAAATAGGAGATCCCACTAATTTTCCCCAAAATAATTGCAATACACGTGCTAAATATAAACCACTGAATAAAGGTCCTAGTTCTTCATCTATAATAATGTTTCACTGCAAATCAAAATAACAAATTTTTTAAAAAGTAAGCCAGATTCCTATGTATCACTCTTGAGTAGTCGATAGTTTTAAATAAAAAATTTATATTTTAAAAAGTGAACAAATTTTTTATGGCCAAAAGAAAAAGCGAATAAATATTTCAAACGTGCCTTCCATATGGAATACTTGAGATCGAAGTTACTTGAGAGCGAATAAATATTTCAAAATAACTTATCTAGCTCGCCCCCTCCCCCCCCCCCTCCCCCTCCCCCCTCTTAGTAAGTCACAATTCCAATAATTATTGTGGGGTCTACTTGTATTATTATTATTAATAATTTAATCTCTTTCTTTCTCTCTCCAAATTTGTTAACTTAAATAAAAAATTATCAAGTTAACTAATAAAACATAGAAAGTAAATCCCTAGGAAATCAAAGTTCCTATATTATCAATCAAACAAACTTAAGTTAATTCCTAGGAAATGGACAAGGGAAATTACTTCTATGAAATATAATTTCCCATGAGAACTCATCTTCCATGTCAACCAAATAACACCTAAATTATTATATCCATGTGAGTCGAAATCTGAATTAGATATTTTTCGGGTTGGGATTGGAATCGGATCGGATCGGATGAGGTTTAAACACCTCTATTTATACGGTTATACCCATGTATAATTCCATACATTGACAAAATTTATACCCACTTAATTTCGTAGGTTTCACTAGTTCACTACGGTATAATCAGTGGTGTACATTTCCTTCGTTCTCTAGAGTTCTATCTATTTCGTATAACACCACCAAAATATCAAGAGAAAAACTAAAATTAGGGTCTGTTCCGATTTACTGAAAACAACTGAACTGATTGGGACTAAAATGAAGGGAACTGAACTGAATAGAGTTGAAATGAATAGTTTGTGAGAGAAGGAAATTAGAAACTAAACTGAACTTAATCGAATTGAAGTGAAGTGATTGAAACTAAATTAAACTAAACTAAAATTAAGCTCAACAAACAAGCACTAAGTCCTTACTTTTTAAAACACCAAAGATAATGTGATTTTAAAAAAATTGTGGAAGTAAGTTGGTCAAATTAGTGGGGCAAAAAGGATTATAAAAGACACATTACTACTAGTCTACTACAGTTTTTTTTCCCCTTTTTTGAACAAAGATATCTTTGTTACACATTAGTTTTAATGGTTTGATCCATAATAAAACGAGAGACGTTGACCTTCCACACTTTACACGTTATATAGTTAGACTAATAGTAATATATACGAGTAAATATATCAATTTTTTTGACATAATTTTAAAATAATTGATCAATTTTGAAGTACTATAATATTATTGTCAATATTATTGTAAGAATATCTCCTATAAAAATGTAAAAAGAAAAGGTAAATAGGAGTTTTCTTAAAAATCAGAAAGTAAAGCGAGATGAGTGATGAAATAGGCGTCCGCTTGGATTTCTATGGTAGGTAAGAAATCTTTTTAAATTTGGTATAAACTAACAAAATGACAAGGATTTCTCCTTATTTCTAGCAAATTATACAACGGCGTAGTGATCCTCAAGCCTCCACCTCAACTTTCCACAAACATGACTCAGGAATCAGGATTTCCTACTAATTTACTCACTGTCGCTTTCTTTTCTTACTTTTCTGTCTTCTGTTTCACACTCGTAAATTATACCATGTGTCTTTCACTCTTTCCTCTTTCCCTCTAAATTATTTCCAACATCAATATCTTTCGTTATCAATAGACATATATAGTAAAATTTTAGTATGTCAAAATTATATACTGATATATAAATCACAAATAGAAGTCAATTAATTTTTGCAAATAGTTATAAAATCAAATTGAGTCAACCATTCAGAAAAATAGAGATAATTCTATTGTAATTTGAAAGGTAAAGACTATTTTTTTAATAATCAAAAATTGAAATCTAATCAAGGAAATAATATCTAAATGCGCCAGCTACTACAGTACTAATTAGATTGAAAATAATTTTACTAAAATACAGAGAATTTCTTTTCAAAAAAAATAATTACGGAGAATTTTATTTCAATTGAATTGACATCTCATTTAGTAAATTTAAAAATATCGATAGAGTACTTGTGAAAATACGGAAAAAGGTTAACAAACTGAAATTTATTGTAACTGAAAAACCTACCAAGAGTTTAAACGCAACTAACAAAATCATCCAGGATTTGCAACGGTGCAAATATTTCAAACATTTATTTGATGAGCAAATACTTAAAGTTAACAACAAAATAACCTTAACAAGAAATGTGAAGTACATTTCTTTATTAAATACTCTTAAGAATTGCTGGTCCAAATCTAGGACTTTTTCAAAGATAATTCATTCATAGCATCCAACAATAAATATAACAATGGCAATATTATGTATAAAAGTGAGAGTGAGGGATAGATCAAGTGGTTATAGCTCTTCTTCCGATTTCAAGTAATCTTGGCATCGATTCTCATCACTCACCCTTTTGGCTCTTTAAAAACCCCCAAAAAAAAAAAAAAATTGTGTATAAAAGTATAATTCTTAAAAATAAAATTAAAAAATCCGTAAGCTCGTTATTATAAGAATTTTGGCAATAGGCGGCAAATAAATATTACATTCTAATACTCTGTATTATTTATATCCCTAATAATACATTATTTTATAGGTATTTCGTGGTTACACAACTACACAAAAATAAAACATCTCCATTGTAAATTTGTACCTAGAATTTTTTTTATTTATTTATTTTTATTTATTTATTTATTTTTTTCAAATGTGTTAAGAATTAATCAAATGACTGATAAAATTAAAAAATGGTTTGCATTAGAATTTCAACCAACAATATGCAAGTATATACTTTATTAAAAAAAATTAAACAAAATCGATTTGAATTTGGCAACTTGCATCACTCAAATATTTTTTTTTTATTTTCTTATTTTTTTTTAAGAAAAATATCTAAAATGTGAAACAATAAAATAGTGAAGCAATAAATAGATACGGAGTAACAAGAACAACTAACCTTCCTCTTGGCCCGGCTAGTACCCGACTGAGACAAGGCAACCAAAGGCGGAATAGCACCTTCACGCGCCACCATAGTCCTATACACAACACTGTCTTCACATAATTGCAGCAAAATCGCGGCCGCAATCTCCTTTTGTCTATGAGACCCAACCTCAACTATCTCTACCAATACCGGAATCCCCTCCTCATCTACCAACGCTGACCTCGCCTCCGGCAACGACACCAATAAGCTCAACACAAACGCCGATTTATCCACCATATGAGACCCGAAATCCGCCATCAATTCAATCAACGGCTTCATGATCCCCGCTTCAACGGCCCTGATCTTGTTTTCTTTTACAGAACATAAAGAGTAAAGTGCAGTTGATGCATCCTTTTTAGCTCTAATTCCACCATTTTCTAATAGATCTACTAAAGCTGGAATTGCCCCTGACCGTCCGATCAATGACTTGTTCTCGTCGACCTGTGATAGCCGAAGAAGCGCACACGCAGCGTTCTCTCTAGCCGTTGATGTCCCAATCTTTAGAGCTCGAACCAACGGTTTGATTGCACCGGATGACGTTATATGATCTTTATTCTCGTCACAAAGAGATAGATTCAAAATTGCTGTTACGCCGTATTCTTGAAGCTGAAGGTCGGAGGAATTCAGGAGAGAAATTAGCGGTTTGATGGCACCAGCTCTGGCAATTTTAAGGCGATTTTCAGGCTTATTTTTAGCTAAAAGACGGATTTCCATCGCAGCTTGCTTCTGATCATCGACTGAAGAAGATTCCAATTCGGAAACTAAATGAGGAATTATTTCATCGGAGAAATCATCGGCGGCACTAGCGCAGGAAAGCCAGAGTTTGCGACGGCTTTCGGATGTCGCTGACGAGAATTCGCCGGACCTGTCGCTATTGCAGTCGCTAAAGGCGGAGGAAGAGTTATCGTTTATGTTAAGGTCGCTGAAATTACGGCCTAAGTAGGTGAAACCCGTCGGAATTTTCTCTGTTTCCATTGGTTTGATTCTGGATTGTTCTGAAAAATTGGAGAATATTGATGGATACTTTATTTAAAATAATGTTTAAGTTTAGAAGAAGTGTCTGTTATTCGACCTCATGAAGTGGGAATTGTGGAGTTGATGGGGTTGTTTGGGAAGTTAAGGAGGTTAGAGAAGTTGGCTTGGTTGGATTGGAAGATATAGGAGAGGAGAGGAGAGAGAATAGAGTTGGGGGAAAAGAACCCAGACTTGGTCATTGTGTAAAGGGGATGGTGAAGCAAGGGAGAAGGGGCCACCAATATTATTTCTCGTGGGCGGAATTGGTACAGAGACTCTATTAAACTTAGGCTCATTTTTCAATTAACGGTTTACACCATCAAAGTTTATTTTAGCAATCAATAACATAATATTAAAATAAACACCAAAAATCTCTGTTGACTTTCTCTCACTAAAAGAGAGCTTATCTCTCTAGAAAACTAGAGCCCCTTCATCAAGCTTCTTCACCGACTTCCATCCCCAAATTCATTAAAATTCAAGGTAGCATTAGAATTAAGGTTAGTGGAATCTCTGTTGACTTTTATTCTTTAGCGGTTTCATTTCCATGCTCGAATCGGAAATCGTAAGTGGCGTTTACAATTTTCCTATTGCTTTCTTTCCCCTTTTCAATTAAAATATCGAAACCTCAATTTTCCGACACTCCCAGTCAGAATTCGTCTTATTAAAAATCCCAAACTTCCTTTTTCCACCTTCATCTAGTTCTTGGCAGATTCGTGGACTATCGTCACTTTTTCAGTGAATCGAATTCAAGATTGGGTGTTAAACAAGTGGTTTAAATTTGGGGAAATCACAATCCAGAAGTTCAACAAAATCTTTCTGTTTCCGTGTTAGGATGCCTGAGACAGAGATGCTATGTTAAAGCGGGGGTCGATGGCATACCAAGCTGCTCTTCTGGTTTTCCAACCTTGGACTCTAGATAATTCTATCAGGGATATAATTTTTGACAAGGCAGACATATGGGTGCATCTTGATGAGATACCTTTGAACTTATGCAATATTAATGTTGTTAAACCAATGCTTTATTTGGCTGGGAACATTTTGTGTACCGATGGTCCTCTTCCAAGTTCAATTGGATGCTTGGCTAGAGTAAAACTCCAAATTCATATTTTTGAACCGTTGCTACCGGGTTTCTATTTGGACATTGGCAACTCTGAATTTAAGTGGATTAATATTAGATATGATAACATGTTTATTTTGTACTCTAGGTGTAATATGTTTGGTCATAAGCGGAATTCTTGTTCTTTGCCTCCTTGTACGCCTACTTCTGTGGTTGATAAGTTCGGGTTGTGTAAGTCTGCTGTTCATCTTGCTCATAATCTATCCAACTCGAACATTGGCTTGAAAAGAACTAAAATATTCAGAATAACGAGAGTGAATCTCCGAAGTTTTTTCAAAAAATTCGTCCCACCCCAATCCCAGGGAAGCCAATCAAACAAAAGACCTCTTATGCTTGCTACACCATCTCTCTCCCCTTTGGAAAAACGGAGAATACACTCAGACCCAAACCTTGCTCCAAAAGAACCCAACCACAAACCACCTTATTCTAATTTCTTAACCCACAAAAAATCATCATCTAACAGCATTCTCGAGGCGGGGAAATATTATCATCTAACAGCGTTCTAGAGGCGTGAAATCATCATCTAACAACATTCCCGAGGCGGGGAAAAATCATCATCTAACAGCGTTCCAGAGGCGTGGAATCATCATTCCCGAGGCGGGGAAAAATATCATAACCATGTATGAGGAGTAAAGTGCGGAAAAGTAAAGGATCTCTCTCGAATTCCAAGAGAGAATCTGCAATGTGTAGTTGCTCAGTTTGAGGTGTCAGATGTCTGACTTTCTCTGATAGAGAGTTGGTGTGTATTGAATATTTCTGAATAGATGTTCTTAGGAGGGTAACATCTCCCTTTTATAGGGTGTTGGAAAACATGCCCAATATTAGGTTTTAGTAAACCTAGGGCCGATTGGGCTTTGCCTGGAACTTTGGGCCGTAGGAGACCACTTGCTCAGTTGGCAATTTTGCCTGCCACGTGTTGTGACTTGATTGGTCCACCTTGGACCTCTCACGAGGTGACACGTGGAGGACTCTGATTAGTCCACGTGGATGACACGTGGCAAGGTAACATTGGTCCACGTGGTGGGGAAAAATCCCCTAATCAGAACTAACATTTTTCTTCAGGTATCAGCGTATACAGAGTGATTTAGGATCGCAGAACGTCTTGAATCATTCTCCGTCCCTATAGAATACTTTGACTATCGTTTTCGAAACTGACATTTCTACAAACTCAGTCAAAGTGGGGGCTTCTGTAGACACCTGAAAATGTCTCCCCAAAACCAAACCCGATGATGAATAACCTTTCACCGCTATTATTAGGCGGGTCGAGTATTTAATCTCGCGAGTGTTTAAAATCCATGTTCAGTCTAACACAGTTTACATATTCTGTCAAAAAATCAGTCAAACCATTTATTCAAACTCAGTCCAACTCATATCCTAGCCTAAATCCTTTTAATTCATTTTGTGTTATTTATTAATTTAGTCCGATTAATAAATAATAAAACCTTAAGCCTGAAATTAATCCGGAATAGCTGAAACCGCGCATAATATATCACGTACTTAATTATTAAGCAAGAAATAAATGAATCTGGACTGTTTTTAAGAAAACATGTGTACCATGTCACGAAAGACACACCGCGTCACAGTATTCCGCACCGTGTCGCGGTATATTGCACCTTCTGCGCCGTGTCGCGGCACACATGCCGTGATGCAGCATTTTTCTAGGATTTCTTCGCGGCGCCTTTTCACTTCTAGGGTTTCGTGCTTCACCCCTCACATTTTCTCTATAAATACGAACCTGATTTCCAGTTTTGGGGCATCAAATCATTCTCTCTTCCACTCTTATACACCAAAAAATATTCTCTTTCTCCCTACACTAAAAATCATACTCTTTTCCCTCTTTAGACTAAATACTAGCCTCCCTATTCTCTCATAATACTTCCACTAAGCACTCCAAGGAGTCCATACTTGACCCAATGTTTTATACTTAAACCAAGGCGTGAAAGATAGAATTAACTGAGGGTTTGGACCAAATCAACTCTACTTTTTATTTAATTTAATTATTTCAATTTGATTTATATTTTTATTGAAGTTACTAACAATTTATTCATGATGTAGCAATTCAAGGAAACGCGGTAAGTGAGTAATTAATCACTTAATTACTCTTATTTTTATTATTTATTGCTAGTATCATGATTAGGGTTATTATTATGATTTGATTTGACTAACAATATCATTGTTAAATTGCTTTCAATGTTGATGTTTATTCTATTGTTTATTGTTGATCACTATATTGCATGTTCAAAGGGAATATGTAATTGAAGATAACGCCTAACAAGATAAGTTGGACGACCGGTTTAGTTTTCTTTTTAATCTTGTTGTTTAATCGAAGTGATCACTAATAATTAGAATTATGTGTTGCATTAATATTCAACCAATTTAGCTTAATATTAGTTTTGAGCAAATTGGATCTTTGTTTGCATGACTTTGAGATCACAGGAAATAATTTTCGCCATAAGAATCGAGTAGAGGCTAATATGGGCGAATGTGACTCCATGACTTACTTCGTACCATCATCCCCGATCCTCTTTTTGTGGTTCCGAACCATATGGAGTTAGTAATTTCATGGATTATGAATGGGAGTAACCTTCACGGGTCAATCGTTGTTACCTTTCGTTGTCCCTTAATCGTGGTTGCCTTTTATGATCCGTGAACGGTTTACAAGTTCCTTAAAAACTTGTTGGTGGCTCCCTACTTTGCTTTGTCCCTAACCGTGTCCCTAATCCTATATATGTCAATTCCCACTTCCTATGAGTGCCAAGCATATTCACAACATGCTTAACGTAGGCGCGCTTCGAACGACGCCTACACTAGCTTCGTAGTTTATAGAGTTTTAACTCGGCCTTGCTTGCTAAGCAGAGTTGGCGTATATATCGTCATCCTTAACTCTTGGTTTCACGTGTATTATCGGCAAATTATTCCTCCCTTTAGTCTTTCCAGCCTAGTAGGGTTTCACGGTCTTCATGGGGCTGTCGGGGTCTTCTAGCTGGTATGTCCATTCTAGCTTAGGGGATTGCATGAAAAGTAGGGTCGAGGACTCAAGTTCATCTTCTCCAGGATATTTGGTCCCTTGGGGGACCTGTTTCCTTCAAATGTGGTCTGGGTGAGTCGGATGTTCTGACTCATGTTTCTTTTATTATTGATCTGCGTTCATATGCGTGGGATACTTCTAAGGTCCATCGGTTTTTCGACAATGTTATGGCTTCGCGTATTTTGTCTACTAGCCGCCCTCATAAACTGATGGATGATTTTTTTTACTGGAAATTTACACGTGATGGTTAGTTTTCCACTAAATCGGCTTATGCATTGATGATTCGCCAGTCCATGGTGTCAGTGGCTTGTGATCCAGTTTCAGCTTCATGGTGGAAGTGATTTTGGGGAATACCAATTATGACCAAATTGAGGATGTTTTGCTAGAAATTGCTTCTTGATGCCTTACCTCTTTCTACTACTTTGCATTCTCGGGGACTTCCTGTCAACCTTGTGTGTTCTTTGTCGTGATCACTTGGAAACGACTTCATATTTATTTCGGGATTGTTTGTTTGTTTCTCATCTCTTGACCACTAGTCCCTTGGGACTCCAGAGTACTTCTTTAAGTGTACACTCGTTTACTCACTGGTTCATAGAGCTGATTTCTAGTTATGGGAAGTCTCGGAATTGGCATAGTCTAGCTACTTTGGTCTCTATTTTGGGTGGGTGTGCCCGAGCTTGTCGGACTTCGTCAGCTTTACAGTCGGAATTACAGACTTGCTTATGGGCTCTTCTAGCTGCTAGACGAAAAGGTTTTTTGAGACTTCTACTCTATATGGACAACACAGTTCTGGTTTCCATGTTATGTCGTTCGTGTTCGGATGATATTTCTTGTGTTTGGTTATTGGGGGCTATAAGAGATATTCTGATACAGTTTAATTCCTGTTGGATTCGTAAGGTTCCTTGTCTCTGGGTTGCTCCAGCTCACTAGTTGACTACTCGTGCTCGTCAACGCCGTTTTCATTCCTGGTCGTTTTGATTGTTATTTGTTTTGGTTTCCTTTTTTTAGTTCCTTTGTTGTTTCGTGTTTTTCTGCTTTAATTTGCTCTCATATTGTACTTCTGTTTCGTTATATGAAATCTTTTTTTTTTTTAAAAAAATAGACACTAGGAATGACACGTGTCACTTCCTAGTGCTGTATTTTCCCTCCAAAACTCCCCCTACCCTTTTAGCAAAAAACACCTTTTATTTTTGGAATA